ACGTATTAAACACGATGTGTTATACATCTTTCTATCAATATCTGAGATGATAAATTTGTAAATTAATACTACATTGGCCATAATTGCATAAAATTCCAGCAGCACTCTTACTGGAAGAGACGTGGATTTATACTATGGGAGTGACTTTTATGTGTCTCATGTTTTCCGAAACTAAAAAAGGAGATGAGCCACTGTGAACAAGCAGAATACAATGTATGAGAAATAATTACGCCTGTGACCTCATGCCCCATAAGGTCACTCTGTATTGCAGGCCAAAAGAAATGAGGAACCATCAGCATTTAGCACAGAGAAGTCACTGACTGGAATGAAGGGCAAGTGTAGGCATATTTCATAAACCAGCAGGTGCTTGACCTCATAAAAAAGTCAATTATCAAAATGCTACATGTAGAATGTCACAAGTAAGAAATAAATAAAAGTGGGTTCTGGAAAAAACCTTCGATTCTGAATAAATCTGAGGCACCATTTATCTTCATCCAAAATATAATACAACAGTTTCACAAAATAGCAATCCATATTTAGTAAAAACAATTAGATTTCTTTAAAAATGCTTTGGACATAAAAGTGACCACACACACACACACGGACTCAAGAATGTTGACTCAAAAAGATTTACAATAGTTCTATAAGTCCCTATTGCAGAATGTATGCAAATATTTATAATCTGATCCTTGTTAGCATTAGGATAGGGATCACAACATATTTATTCTTAAATTTCCAATCAGAAATTGGGAAGCAAAAGTTTACATATTTATGATATTTGCAAAGGATAATATAATGATTTCTGACTGGTTCAAGGACAGAGCTACATCACCTGAAGCAAAATTCTCACATCAGTCAATAAATGAGGACTTTGGGGTCTTATGAAAATCTGTGTGGCATTCAGTTACGGCAGACTGTTGTTGCTTTTTCTTCCCCAGTGAGTGCTAGTCTATTGCCAGGATACCTGGGCTACATAAATTAAAATGAATTTTGAGGTGCAGAATAAGGGAAAGAAAACTACCAAAACCAATCTAAGGAAAGGAAGGGCTCAGCAGCCTACACATTCACTGTATTTATGCACTATGCTGGAGGCTTTGCATAAAGTTTCTATTTAATGTTCTTCAGAGTCTCGAGAAAAGCAGCTGGCCCTGGCCTATTACCCTTTCTTGTCACACAACCCTATAAAAGGCTTTGTATTGTATACTAGACCTAAATAAGATACAAAGGATATTATCAACATGGCTGGCTGGTTTATTGTTTTAGTCTCAGCTCAATCCCTTCTTGACTATGAACTCAGAGGAAGTTTCCAACTACTTAAACCTCTGGTCCAGATCCCTAAGACAAAGGGTTATCACAGTTCAAGAGCTCTTCAAGTAAGAGCATTTTCTGAGTTCCTGACAAACAGTTAATAAAGGGACTCTCCCACAAAGCCCAGGCCTAACTTAAGTACTGCCAATATTACTTAGATAATTATTAAATATCTTTAAATACTTTGAATTATTAAGTGATAAGACAACTTCTGATGAGTGTACGCTTGCCAGAAATATTCTTTAACGTTATCCCTACTTTAGTGATGAAGATTCCTGTGGCAGAAGTGGCTTCTATGTCTCCCAAACGACGTGTTATGGTGATACTTGCATTGACAATCATCTCAAACATTTAACAGCAACGGTGGAAACAATTTCACTACAAGCACGTGGGTGGCAGGTGTGGGCTATCCACCAGCTGGCTCCATAACCTTTGATCCCTTAGGACAGCAAATCTGTTCAACAGCCCTATGCGGTCATTCCTCATTTGTTGAATGCTTTCTTCTCCTTTAATACGTTCAGAATCCCTATTCCTTTAGCTTGACATCCTTTTATGAAAATAGAAAACTCCCAGTAAAAGAAAGTAAAACTAATTTTACACTCAGTCAGCATTAAAGTTCCAGAATTGATTAACATATTATATCAAAAGTTGTTAAAGTGTGGTGTCTTAGTAACATGCAAAAAGCATGTCTGTTTACTCTTACACTGAAAAAACAATTACAGTAAGGGATAAATTAAACTTTTAGGTAAGTTAAAGTTCACTTAACTTATGAAATATGGAAGAATAGTATAATTAAGTAAAAAGGACTTAGTAATAAAAATGGAAAGATTTAAAGCTGACCTAAGAGCAAACTACTTTATGTTTATTTAAACAATGGTGAAAAAATGTCAGAGTTATTTTCTACTCCATTTTCTGTTGTTGTTAAGCATAACGTAAGTGGAAAAGACATCATTTGAAATTAGTAGTAGTTAAGTCAAGGGTCTACTTTTCCACATCCACTCTCAGTTATGATCTAAGGATCCTAGAGCAAGCCGGATAGAAAAAAATAGGTAAGAGAATGGGTTTTGGAGTATGACAGTCACTTAAGTTTCTGAGGGACTTTCAGAAAAAATTTCAGTCCTCTCAGCCTCAGTTACCTGATGTGAAAGCAAACAGAATAGAGGGTATAACAACAGTAGTATCTACTTTATTGTTACCATAATGGTTAAATGAAGGAACACAGACCTTTCAAGTATTAGCAAAAGCCTGACTTAGAGAAAGTGTCCAAATAATGGCAGTCATTATTATTTTACATATACCTTATCCTCTCTGGACCCATTAACAGACCTCTCACCTCACAACATATGCATTTCTCTCATTGCTTCAGGGAATAATCTGTAACTACACTGTGCCTTTAACTTGTAGCTAAGCCATGCTTTTCTTTGCAGGAATAAAATAAAATGGCATTGGCTGTAACTGCTTATGGCATCTCTTCTTCCAAACTGTCAAGTGTACAACTCTCTACTAATTTTTGCTGTTTCTGTTAGACCATTACATGCAATCAGTAACCAGGGCTTGGAAACTGTCTTTCATTCTGCTCACCTACATTTAGGTCCAGGTTCCATCTCCGGCTTGTGACAGCCTCCCAGTCACTGATTCCCTTTCCGTTCTGCTTCCCCAACACTGTGCCCCACCACACCCAGCTTTTTATATGGATGCTGGGAACCCAAACTCAGCTCTCATGCTTGTGTGGCAAGCATTTTACAAATGGAGCCATCTCCCCAAGCCCTTGAGGATGTTTCATTCAGTAAGGTCAATCAGCAAACTATGTTTTCTGAAATAGAAAGCTAATGCTTGTAAGTTAGGAACAAATAACAAGTTTCATACGATTTATTCAAATATTCAAAAGGCAGAAGCTTTTTTGAACCAAGGTTTTCTTTCTTTCCTTTCCTTCCTTCTTTCCTTTCATCCTTTAATTTTTTTTAGGTTCTAGAAACTTATTTCTTAATTA